ATTTTGTTATATAAATGAATGAATTGAAATTGTAAAAAATTTAAATTGTACAAGTGAATTTATACAGAAATAAGGTAATAAAAATTTAAACAATTATTATAGAATAACTAGTAGCTTAAAATTAACTTCTATTGTTTCTTTCAACTTCAAATAAGCATAAAAAAAAATATATAATAATTCCAATTACTCATAATTACAAACATTTATTTTTTATCTTTACAAATGCTTGAAAATTAATTAACTAATGCGAGTGTTATTTTCATCATGCTTCTACAAAAATTAAATTTTACGTTTAATAATATTTATTCTATATTTTTTCATTTATTAATTATTTTTCTTGGCTTATTAATAATTAAGATTTATTAAAATTAAATTTTTTTTAATGTTAATAAATTTGTAATATGTTCTTATATAATGTAAAAAAGAAAATTTATAAAATGGTATGTTAACTTTAAATTCAATACTTTTTAAAGTTAGTAATTATTAGTTTATGTGTTTGAAAGTTGGCTGCAATACCTTTATTCATTTATCAAAGAATGTTGAGTACGAATCTGAATATAATATTAATACTTAAATAAATAGTGTCATGACATGAAACTATTGGATTTAATTTTAAATACGTATTAATAAATCTCATTAAATTTCATAAACTTTATGATTAATCAATATTGATAAAAACATTACACTTTATATTGGATTATGAAGTTATAAATACATTTTATTGCTCGTGGAATACTCAATTTTATAATATTTTTAGGCATGTTACTAAATGTCACTAATCTCTGAAATCCAAATTTCACAATCTCTTATTATTAAACTTTGTTAAACATTTGTAATTATTTATACATTGGAAAAAAATTAATTATTTTAAATATATGTTGAATATATCATAAACTTCTCTATTTAAATATTTGTTCCATTCGCATAAAAACAAATCAAATCAATCGTTTCAAACAAGGTGACACCTACGGCGTAGCATAATAGACAAAATTTTTCTCTATATTAGCTGCCATCAAGAAGGGATTAAAAAAATTGCAAAAAAGTAATTTGCTCACCAAGAGACCGGACGGCGATACGAATATTCCCGAACCGATCATGGTACCGACGATTAGAGCCACCCCACTGACGAGTCCCACCCGTCTCTTGAGGTGAACAGGGTCGTCCTTCTCTGGGTCCTGCCCCTCCAGCCCTCGGCTCCCTCCACCCCGGTCTTCGTCATTCCCCAGAGCTCCTGGAGACTGTTGTTGCTGCTGCTGTTGTTGCTGCTGTTGTTGGACATTCGCTTCGGATCCTTGAAGCGATTCACCTTTTTGCCAGTGATTATTGCGCATGCGCAAATTTGGTGGGTCCAAGGCCGACCCAGGAAGCTCCTCTTTGGCTGCTTCCTGTTGAATTGACGAATTGCCTTGTGGGCCTGGTTGTTCACCATGATGTGAGATGGCTGCAGCATTTTCAAAATTGAGTCAAATTTAGTCGAAAAATTTCTGTCAATGCAAAGCATTTAATCCACTTATTATAATTATCAGCAATTTTAAGACAAACGGGGATACATAAATATGAAATAACATCGATTCAAATAATTCAATTATTTTCACGAAAATTTCCTGAAGATTGCTCTCAGTTTTTAAAGTTTATTATAATACAATGAACTAAACTAATTAAATATTTAAATATAATTTTTTTGTATTTACTTTGTGTATTTAAAAGTAGCGTGGATTGAGTAGTTATTGAATAATATATATATATATATATATATATATATTCGTAGAATCTCGTTTATATATTGGAAATAATTTTATTGTAAATTAAAATTTTTACTTTAATAAGCAATATATTATATATACATTATATAAATACCAAAATAATTATCTGTAAAAATTATATATAATTAGTTTAAAAATAATGTTCTATTTATTTATTATTCATTATTAAGCTTTTATTGTAAAATCATCTATAAGAAAATTAATTTACCATAGACCATTATGCCACATAAATTCTAAATTATTGTCATTGATAATTTGAGCTTTCATTATAAGAAATTGAGAATATCTATATGAATTTTTGATAAAAATGTCGATTATTTATTACCACGCAATAGATAATATAAATTATTTATTCAAATACAATATGCAATATCGTATAGTACTATAGTTAGATAAATCGCATCTGTTAATTCATTAAAATAATTACATTGGAAAGTCAACAGGATTATTTTAAATGTACAATTCAATGAGTTTCAAAAATAAAACTTTCTGGTTTATTTAATGTGAGAATTATATATTTGCGTGCTTGTCGAATTATCTACTTAATGCCAATATATCGTAACAGGCCGCATGTCAACATTCGTTGAGAATAGTAAAATTGTTTATAAATTGGCTTGATCCACGGACTCGTCATAATTGGCATTAATTTTCTAGGACGGAATTACTTCGGTTCGATTTGGGTCGCGGAAGGAGAGGAAAAATCTGTATCTTTCGAAACCTAAGATATGTATATTTATACCCAAGCATATTATATATAATTATATAATATTAATTGAGAATAATGTATTATCTATTTGATCGATTAAAATATCATGTTATAAATTTTATATTAAAAAAAATATGTATTTAGAATGTTATGTTCAATAATAAATGGAATAAAAATATAATAAAAAAAAAAAATGGACAAATTATCTTTCTTAATATATTAATCTTAATTACTTAAATGTAGCATTGTTTGGTAATTAAGTATATTCAACTTTCCAAATAATAAGATCTGTCATAACTTTTAGAAGACAACATTTAATAAAAAACGAATATTCAATTTTGCTGTAACTGAAATTTGTTATTTGGAAGTTATTTGTTATTTCACGCATACTTTTCATTAGTTAAAAATGAATAAGCCAACTTCATCTCTATCCTTAGTGAATTATATAAAAATAAGAAACTTCTTTATTAATTTATTTATTGTTATTGCTTTTTCAAATATTCAAATTTGCACGTACGACATAATGATAATGTTAATGTCTTAATTACATACTACGACTTATTAAAATAACACAACCGTAATATACCGAAGCATAAGCAAATAATACTAACTTTCGAATCTCCTTTTTTTCTCTAAGCAGACATTAAAATTCATTTTACAATATACTCTTATAATAAATTATCGTGAATTGAAAAAAAAAAGGAAAAAACAGATTTTTAACTAATTCTTGTTCGACAATTCATCATACATCAAAATTAATGCTCTTTACTTTACATTTTTACCAAGAATCATTAATTTGTTAATTATGAATATTTTAAACAATATCCTTTATCTACATTCAGAAACTTCGATTCAATTTATACATAACATTAATATTAGCATAAAAAAAAAAACATATATTCTTTTATAACTTGGTATTTTACTTAGAAGATTAATTCATTAATTCGCGTAAGCTAGTCGTGATATTTATCTACTGTGCATGCGTATTACCCGTTATAACAAGGTCTCGCACAACGACTACATATACACATACATACATTGTATAAAATATCTATAAATATATATACTTAATAGTACTGTGTAAAGGTCATATTATGTAATTTTCATCGACCATTGGTCTTAGTCAATATTTCGTTTTGCTAATGTTAATTTTTCATAAATATTTCGGGCTAAATAAACTTAGTTTATAATAGACATAAATTTATTCTATATGGATGCATGTCTATGACAGGTATTAACATAAATTAAAATACCGTATTATGTCTAAATTGAGAAATTCATGAATATTATACAAATATTGACTAATGGTCATGGCATATTTTTTACATTATTTTATATTTATTAATCATTTGAATATACGTATAATTAATTATTACTGATCATAAATATAACAAAATATTCTTGTCATTAATTAAATCATACCTGTATTGTTAGCACAGTACATAAATCGATAATAAATAAAAATTTATGTAAAATTAATTTTAATAACAACAGCAATTTCTTATTATATATATATATATATATATATATTTATAAATAAAAATAAAGCTTTAGTATTAATTTGTTTCAAATAAACAGAAAAGATTGAACAGATTTTAAATTTGTCAAGTCTGACATCATAGTTTTTTTTTAGAAATGTAACGTCAGAGTTCAATAAATTCTAAACAGTCTTGTTAACATTATTAAACTTATTCACTACTCGATGGAATGTTTTTATTATTATTTTATTTCAACTCGATTGATTTAAAAGTATTACACAATGACAGAAAATATATGCATATCGTTAATAATAAAAGACATAAGAATTCTTCGATACTCACTTTTAGAAAGATATTTATAAATATATTAATTTAATCTATAAAATTAATGTTATTATATTCATAATATATATTTAACTATTCCATGTGTTTTAATTGAGAATATGCATGTTGATAAATATTTAAATAAATATTTGCAAGCAATAATTTCAAATATATTTCAAATATAATTTTGCATTGTAAAGAGTTTGAAAAATTATAGATATTATTATACAGAATTTATGTATTATATATTATATTTATATAGAATTTATATATAATAGATTATATTTTTAATACAGAATATATATAGAATCATAAAATATGGATTGTCATATAATGCTAATAATATCTACAAATTTAATATAAATAAAAAAATTGATAAGCCTGTATTTGTATGTATTCAAATTAAATTGTATCAATGCCCAAACAACCTTGAATTAAAAAAAAATAAAAAAATATTTTTAAATGGAATTTCTTAGACTATATAAATAAAATTGCAGCTTCGTGTCAATTTCTTTTAATATAAGAAATTTATAAGATATTTTCTCATCAAATATTTTTCAGCAAATATATATTCTAGAAATTCATCAAATTTAACAATAAAATTATATATATATAATCAATAATTTTACTATCGAAGCATGAAGCATAATATACATAGATTCGACATGTGTTTCATTATAAAAATTATATATTTATAAAACATGTATTAAAAATCCTTAATTTACGTTTTCTAATTTTATTACTTTCATTTGTTTTAGTAGAATATTTACCAACTTTAAATTAGTGATAAATAACTGTATAAAATAATTGATAACTTAAACTGTTCATTTAAGAATATTTTTAGTTGAAATAAAACGTCTAAAAATATAAGAGTTTAAACTAAAAGAAATCAAGCGTTTTTGCACTTTCAGCAGTAAAATGCATGATTTGTTGAAATTAAAATTCTTCTTACACCTTTTAAAATTTAATTTAAAATGTAAAGGATTATTGAATATAGATAAACTCATGAAGAAATTTAATTTTTCTTCAATTATTATTATTAGACTATATGTATATTTATATATTTTCAAACAAAAAAAAATACATATATATAACCATAAATAAGTAGATAAATGTAAATATAACCCCAATAATTTGATATGTTTTACATAATTTTAACTTTATTCTTTTATATATTAATTTCTGATGAATAAGTTATGATATCACATATTAACTTTAATATGTGGAATTAGACTTTAATACACTTTACACTGATTAATTTATTTTTAAATATTCCAATGTACTATTTGTGTCTATACGATGTGACTCACAAATTTAGTTAATTATTTTATAAAAATATGTTGAAGAATAGAAATAAGTAGTTTGTCCACCTCCTCACAATTTCGATTTAATTTCTTTTACATTTGCGTAAGAAACATATCCTATATATTTGTATTTATAATTCATTAATATCACAATTTTATGTTAATTGTCGTTAACAGAATTTTATTATGAATGATATTTTACTAGTAGATCATACTACTATTAAAAGTGATCATATTATTAAAAAATTGAAAATATAAAATTCACCTCCCAAACACTGTTGAAATTTAAGGATTAATACATTATTAATAATATGTTAGTATAATATTAGTGAGTATGTTATTTACTAATCAAAATTAGTATAGATATTACATGGAATTAGTTGAATACGCATCAGCTTAAAATCAAGAGAAATTAAATAAAAAATATATTTGAAGATTTCAATTCAAAACTATCAAAATATTAATTAACAACGTGTAATGGACTATAGCTCCTACCCTTCATAAATTCACCTTACAATATAACACTAAAGCTATTCATTATCCGTCCAATGTACATTATCTCATAGAATGCTTTAAAAGTTAAAAAGGAAATGCGCGCTTGGAAAGGAACGTGATGAATTTCGAAAATGAATACTCGGTCTTTCTGAATACAAGCACGTAATAAATTTGAGTACCATTGAAAATATCATTTTGCAATTTGGATTAAATTAATCGTTCGATCCCCCCTTCCTCGCCATGCCAGCCAAGTAACCTCCTTCTCTCTCTCTCTCTCTCTCTCTCTCTCTGCTACTGTCCCTGTCTCTGTTCCAGTAAAATTATTATTCGTTGGATCATCAGTGGTCGTATCGACCGCGAAGGCATATCGTTCGTTCGGCTCCACGTTGAACCACTTGCTCGAGCGGCACCTTCCTACGTCGTTCACTTGATTCGTTCGCGCGTCAGCCACGCGCACACCCTACCCTTCCGCCCTGGTGGTGGCGACGACGGCTGCGGCGGCGGCGGCGGCGGCGGCGGTAGCGGCAATTCCCACGCACGACCGCCGATCGAAGTTGGCGGCGACTCCGATGCGAGCAAAGGAAAACGACGTGGACACATGCCAGAGTCGCGAGCCCGACGTGCTCGACGTGCTTGACACTTACGGCTGACTCCCTCTCCTATGTGGCTCCGACCGTATATCGGCAGCTGCTCCCAGTCGCCTTATCCCATCTTCCGCGGCGGCCCTTCTCTACGTGCCGCATCCGCCACCTCTGCGCGCAGTTCGTCCTCCATGAGAGATCGCGTCAATTATAGTAGCATGCCATTGACGGAAGCCACGCCTCGAGTCGCCACCCCCGTTGCACACACTCATACTCGCATGCCCGCGCATAATAGACTTTTCCCATCCATCGTGCGCTTGGATCCCGTGCCAGCATATTGAAGATTGCCTCACCCACGAACACTTCATCCTTTATCGATATGGACTCGTTCATTTACCCAACCGGCTATTAGTTATTGGATTGGCCGATTCATTCATCGTCCTTCTCTATCTCTATCTCTCTCTCTCTATCTCTCTCTCTCTCTCACTCTCTCAGTCTCTGTCTCTGTCGCTGAGTGTGTGTGCGACTTCAGCCTCAGGCATGCCTCGGGGTTGCGAAGAAATTCTGTCAATTGCATGGCAGACGGCTTGAGGAGAAATCATTAAAATGTGTAACGAAACATTCTTCCGCTGTGCTCACAAAAATAGGCTCGACAGTTTTATTTTTAACTTTTGAGAAAATACATGGGAAATTTATCTAACCATATATTATTATTCTCACATATCGTTTTATTATGATTTAAAAATATTACTACCCCGGCAATTCGTTTATAAATTGACAGTTGTAAGGCATCCATCCTTATAAATACATCATCACGAGCTAATTTTAGCTATGATAATATATGCTTGAATATCGGCTAATCATAGGTAATTGAAAATTATAATTCAATCGAATTATAGAATGGACAAACAATACGGCTCGCTACATTATTTAATTGAATACATATTTTTTTATTATTCATCATCATTTTTCCATCCGTTTGCACTGTACCCGGCATGAGCGTTTCGTGCGAATACGAACTTTGGTAACGACGCAAAATAAATAATTTCCTCCTCCTTCTCCTCCTCCTCGTCCTCCTTGGCCCTCTCGCACCCCTGATAATTTGCTAAATTTTTATTTCGCAGTTGGCGAAAAAATGTTTATAATTAAAGAGAGCGTGTGGGATGGTGAGAGAGAAGGAGAGGAGAGAGAGAGACAGAGAGAGAGAGAATGTAATTGTGAGAAAAAAGAGGAATAGAAAGAGAAGGAGGAGGAGAAGAAAAAAGAGATGAGAAAATGAGAGATCGAGAGAAGGCGCGCGTTTGGAATTGTAAAATGATATTTTTGGAGAGTATAAGTAGAGAGACTAAAGTGTCGGAAAATGAGAGGATACGCGTCTGTCATGAAACGGCTAGATCTACTTATATGACGCAACATCACGATTTATCAAATATATTCGCAGACAAATCCGAACGAACCTCTTGGCCTCCTCGCCTCCTCGCCTCCTCGCTCCTCATAAAACAGAGAACGACTCAATGTCCAATGCTTAATTAGCAGTGGCAACTCTAACCACGCGACTACCAAGCATCTCCCTCCTACATCACATACGCGGAAGAATTCCCGACGACGGAGTCGTCATTATTATTCGGAAATAGTCCGATAGTGGAGCGAGAGACCCTTCCGATCAAACGACGAGGGCTAAAGCGGAAGCGGGTCGACGGCGGACACTGAGCTCTGCCCAAGAACGTGTAAGCTATTGCGATAACGAATTTGGCAAGATAAGCTCCTGGCACAGTGTCCTTACCTCGGTTAAAGGGCGCGACATGCATGACTCTAGACGGGGCCGACGGTAAGGGCGGATCGTTGTAAAGCAGCCTCTCATGACACTTCAACGGCTTATCTGTAAGGAGCAGTTGCCGTTTGTTGTCTTTGCCTTTGCCTGGATTATCGGCGCCGTTGGTGTTCTATTGCTGCGCTCGACCGACCCGACGCTGATCTCCTCCGACCCGGGCTCGCCCGACCAGGCGCCACGCGCTGTATCGGCGATCACGAGACACACCCGCACACCTTCCCCCGTGGCTCTCTGCCCCTTGGCTTAGAATCGCGGTCGAGCCAAGCGGCCGATCGCGGCACGTGTCTGATTACCGTTTGTTTGACCTCGGCGGGGCTACTGCGCGGATAGCATCGTGCGCGTGGCCAGGGAGCTCCGAGCGGTACTCTGTATCAACGCGCCTCACGACCACGAACGACCAACGAATCGGCCGCGTCAGGATGGACTGAGTCGAGTAGTCTCGAAAGGCGTGTGTTGTTGGAGCGCGCGGTACTGTGGCGGCACTAAGCGCCCTCTTCTCTCGCTCTCCTTCTCGCTTTCCTTCATACTCATTCCGTCGTCGCGACCCGCTGCTGCTTTTTCCGTTTCGCCAGTCTCCGCCCGTACCCGCTACCCGCTACCCGCTACCCGCTACCCGCTACCCGCTACCCGCTACCCGCTACCCGCTACCCCCCGGTCCGGAGGAATCCTTATTGTATCGTTGCACGTGAGCGTAATGCACAAATGTGAACTCGGCCGACTGCGGGGCCCGTCCTTCCTCTCCCGATATCCCCTCACCGTGCCGCTACCACGTCTTCCTCTGGCCCCGGCGCGCTATGACGACTTTCTCCTCTTGCCCTCCCTTCCCTCGCGACAGATGACAAACACCCCATTCCCTTCCCTCCCTTTACCACCACCCGCCACCCGCCACTCGCCACCCGCCGCCCGCCCCCTCGCCCAAACCACAGCTTTTGCTCTTTGCAGCTACCTCCTACTTCCCCTCGTCTTTCTGCATCTAGCGGTGGCTCCTAGTGTTTCCGAACCCACTCCCCTCTCTCTTCATCGTCGTCGCCCCTCCCCCTCCCAACAACCAACACACGCTCGCCCGTTAAAAGCGTATTTTTCGTTCGTTTCTTTATAATCGCCCTCCGCTCTTCTACACCGTCGCTTATATCTATCCGATCGTGGTGCGCGCGCGCCCCTACCTTTGCCCCATCGAGCTCCCGCGTTACCTCGCTCTTTTCTCTGCCCATGATGTTCCTCTTCATCCCATAATTTTCAAGCATCTTATTACTTATCCACTTTTTTCCACATTAGCAATAATCACATTAACGCAATTGACATGCACGCGCACTGATTATTAATGACCATTGTTCACTAGCCGAAAACGCAAACATTTATCCCTCGCATTCTAGTATATTTTCTTTCTTTTTATTCAGACGCAGTCGCGAATTACAAGAGCGTTTGTCCTGCTCTAGATAGGAAGGAAGGTTTCAAAGTGCGCAGTTTGCACGCGGAAATAATTTTTAAACGCAAAACCATCTCAGCACCGACACCTACATCTACTCCCTACTTCCAACGATTCAGATTTCAGATTAAATAATAAAAAAATAATTATGCATTACTTGTCATCCACGAGAAGCCTAGCTAAATTCATATGATCGTGCAAGATTATCAAAGGATCTTTAATTAAAACCAAGTTTTAATAGCGCACCCGATAAGAATTTTACATACGTCTGCCCATAAATTTCCTAGTAAATTACTTTCCTTGTATTAACTCGGAAGCTTCAGGCGCTTAAACCTTACGCTTAATATTGTACAAAAACGGCGCAATTCCCTCTCGAAAATCCAATATTCTCCAATAAACGGCAATTCCTTAATTGGATTAACGCGTGTAATTCTAAGGAGACACGAGTGAAGAATCACGAGTATTAAGATCATTTAAGATTTGTTTAATGTTTGTTGATTTGTTTGATTAAGATCACACGTGAATATAAATCGTTTCTATTAGCAAATTAGGGAGTATAATATATTATCATTTTTCAAAGACATTAACATAAATAATGCCTTTTACGAAGTAAAAATATATTTTCTTACAAACTTTCATCCTTCAATAATTAATCATTTCAACAAAAAAAATTTTAATTTATTCAAATTCGTTCTTATATTGATTAAAACTCAATACACTGACCAACAAGTAATAATAAAATTAATTCTATCTTACAGTTGAAATAAAATATTAGCGTTTTCAATGTCGAGAAAAATAATTATCTCTTTCGTTTCTTCTCCAAAACGACAATGGTACATAATTGTATAAATAAATAATTATAAATTAATTCATCAATATGGAAAAATGACTAATCATCATATGAGTTTTAGTTTTATCAATAATCACAAGAACAACGACGACGATGACAACGAATTCTTAATCCTCCCCACAACTACTATCGACTATTTGTCAATTTCACGTACATTTATAATTTAACATTAGTTGTATAAATTAATATTATCTATTTTAATACGATATTTTATTTAAATTTTTATGATCAATGAGATAGTATAAACAAGTATATAAAGAAAAAAAGAAAAAAGATTCAACTTTGTTAAGATTAAACAACTGTTTTTGTATTCCTTCTAAATTGGTGGATTAAAATTAATTGCAAAAATTGCATAAAATTATTGAATTTATCGTATACTTATTATGTTTTTTATCGAAGCTAAATTTTATCATTTACCATCGACATTTTTTTTTTTTTTTTTTTTTTTTTTTTTTTTTAATTAATGAATTAATGAATTTGAGTAAGCAGTTGTAATATAAAAAATTCTTGTGTCATAACGTATTAATCGTCTCAAATTTAAAGACACTTTATTGAAGATAAAGTCCCTATATTTATTTAATATGTCACAATTGATTCATGTTATAACTAGTCTGTAAATATGAGTTTTATAAGCTTGATTGCTTTAATTATAAGAAATAGTGCTTTTGAATATGAGAAAAATTTCAAGTCAATACGACAGAATTGCGTACATTGAAAATGTTTTATATAGTTATAATGAATCATCGATTATGTATTTCTGCAGGATTTTTAACTTTTAAAAAATAGTTTTTAAATTATTTATATGAACTTGATGTGGTGCAAATTTTGAACGTATAAATTAATTTATTTTGTTCGTTGCTAACGATAAAAAAAAAATTCATATTACTTTAAAAACGACACAATTACTCCATTATATATTTCATTTACATATTTATGTCATGTTAATGAAATTATGCATTTTTATTATCAAATTTAATGAAAATTTGGAAGAAAAAACGCTTGTGCGAACAATTAATAGAGAGATGTTCCGCGTCTTTATTAAATACTTTGACGAAAACTATAAAGCACGAATGCTTATATAATTAAATATAAAACCACCACTTTCGTTCATTTCCACCAATAATATAAAGAAGTTTTTACTCGCCACATAAACGCATACAAACGTACTATCCATGCCTACACCCGCGCATCCTCATGCATTCACACAATTAATTAAAATAATAATAGAACTACTTTACTTAACTCGTTTCGCTTAAATAATACTTTTTTTTTTTAATATTCACAATATTTATCTTATTAATTTAAATTGAATTCAAATATTAAAAACCAATATTGCTTATTTTGCTAAATTATTCATATTTATAATTTAACACTATTCAATATTTTATCATTCTTTAATAAACTCAAAACTCAAAACTCTTATTATTAATTCATTAACGCACAATTTTAAATATACTATGTTCTACGTGTAAGATTCTGTAACTATAGGATGATTACTCAAAAAAAAAATTATACGTATATGTTAAATAATAGAGGAAGGGGCTTTATATTTGTAAAAATATATATATTGTATCAATTTTTCAGCATTATTTTATTAATCATCATGAAAAAAATAGTTCTTTAACTATACGTATAGAATTTAAAAAATGTGTATTATAAATATATAAACCTACAATTCATTAAATTGTAAAATTAATCTCAAGTCAATTATTGAACAATCAATCTTAATAGATATCGAGTATATTGTTTTAAAAATTATACAAAAGTGTTTCTTCAAGAATTGTCACAATATAACAGTATAATCATTATATATACTAACTGCAATTGTAAAATTTAGAATAATAATTAACACATTTTCTATACATGATTTGTAAGAATACTGTTAAGTAGCATCAAATGATGCTAATAAAATCAAATTCATTTAGAATTTTCTTCTTGTTAGTGTGTGTTGATCACGTAGCGGTAAACAAGCGTTGCTAGTATTCCCAATGCTATCGGAATCACCCAGGATCTCCAAGAGTCACTACAATTGTTAATTGTCACATCACCACGCAGAAACTATCACAATTTAAATGCATTGCAATTGTATTTACAATTAATTAAAGGATAAGAAATTAGTTAAATTATATTATAAATTCACTCAATGACTCGAAAGTTTTAGCTTCGCTTAGCATAATAAAATAATTTACAATAAATTACACTTTGATTAAAATTTATTGGATATTGTATTCATAAATGTAAAATAAAATTCTTGATTAATTTATAAATACCTGGAATCCTGATTTTTGGAATCGGTCAATGGATCCGGAGACCCTTTCGCGTTCGATTGTTTTCTTTCTTCCTTTTTATTACGATGGTAAAGAAGGTATTAAAGAAAAGTTATTCTTTATAAAATAAAGGTGTTTGAATATTTTAGATACTAACTTCAACAATTTCTCCTATTTTATATGGTTCCATCATTTTTCTTGCATCTGTAGAGTGTCCAACATCTTCAAATGGCTCTGTAGCATCTCTTCCACCTTGATCTAAAAGTAATTCAATACCACCAGGATGCTAAACAATCATATAAAAATTGAATATTTTTTTTTTTTTAAATGATTCAAATAATTAACTGTTGGTAATAAAATAAACTAATTTGCAATAAGAATAAGGAGAAGGTTATGTTAGAAACTGTACTGACAATTGATTGAAGTACCTTAACTAGAAAATCTGTGAGATCATATACATTATGATGAATTATTGTCCAAAGCTTATCGGCAGTATTGTTTAATGCGACTTCCGCATGCGTAAATAATTTTAAAGTATTTGCACTAGAATCCTCGGAAGCCATTTTTAAAAGATAATATTAGTATATTTTACCACGCACCGACTTCATTAAACACAGTGAAACACTAACCTGTTACTACCTGAGTGGCGAGGTAAATGAAACATTTCATTTATAGTAAATTCTTGATTCTGCGCAGAACAACTTTATGCCGGTTGGGTAGCAAGCATTTATGAATGATTTTTAACTGATTCAAATCCTCGATGACTGAGGTGTACACAATCAATATTTTCTTGGCAAAAGAAAAGAAAAGAAAAGAAAAGAAAAAGAATGTAAAACACGCAATTTGGGATGATTCCAAATTTATTCATCATGGGTTTAATTAAATATCAGCAAAAAATTAATTCTAACGTTATATTTTATTTTCGCTGCGATTCTGCTCACGTTTTGCCTCAATTTCTTTATTTTAGTTCAAATAAATGGGGAATAATCTCATTTCACGTCACAGGTACGTATAATGTTTCTGCTACAATAAAGTGGCAGCAGCGTCACCCACACCCAATCAAAAAATTAATAATAAAGTATCACAACTTCCTTCAATCGTCGATGTATAATATTATAATTGAATATACACGAGACAATTAGTGTCGTATATACTTAACGGATAACAGTGTATGGGGATTATGCTCTTATTTAATTATGATTTAATTAAAGAATTAAATGTATTTACAATATAAGAAGCTCGTAATTTATAGCCAATAATATTGCTTTAACATAATGATATATGTAATTATTTATTCGATTGCATTAATGGATTGAATAATGAAATATAATCTGAAAAACATTAAATAACAATATTATTGCTAAGTGAAGTGTTTAAATAATTTTTTTATAATTTCATATGTGGGTATAATTAATAAAAGAAAAAAACAGTATAATTGCTTAAATAGATTTTTAAATCTTTAATTGGCACAATTGAAGAACAATTTTTAGAAATTAATAATATTAAAGTTTTTCATTTTCTAACAATAAAAATATCGATGCTTTTCTTGAAGTACGCGTACACTTAACAAAATTACATTTACATATATACTTATTTCATACACACGTTTTATTTAAATAAACCTATATACATATGCACATATATTGTTTAAATTTTTAATGGCAATAACGCATTATACAATTCCGCAAATACCTCCAGTAACGAACGGCTTCGCTCTTTTACTCTTTTAAATTTTCAGAGGTTTCAGGACAGATGCTCGAAGGATAAAAGAATTATATTTCAGACGATGGATGGATTCTTCAAGTATGAATCAATAACGTAAGATAGTGAAAATTATATGCGCTATACAATTGGATAAAACTGATTTAGGACCAATGTTGGACCTCCAATGAACCATCTGTCAATTAAAATTCTTGTTTCAACGTCGAATTCTTCGAAGAACTATTAATGTTACTCATTCGTTAAAATTACATAGTCTCATTATGAAACATGAAATTAAAATTTAGATATGTTCAGTTTTACAGGCTAGAGCAATATAACAATATTATCAAATAAAATGATTCACATATCGGATTGTTATTTCTATGACTTTTTTCCGTCCTTTAATTAATGTTGATCTTCAAGCACATTTATTTGATATAACAAAAATTTTTTAATAAAGTATCTTAGATGAAAAGAGGAAAAACAGATTGTATTAACAATGCTATGCGATAGATGATCGTTTCAGCTCGGATACACCAGTTCCGCATGATTCCACTAAACCAATAAAGCAATTATTTACGAATAGATGGCAATATTAAACGCTTCATTGCATTTATTACAATCATTATATTTCTCTCTGTATGTGCGTATGCATGTATACATGTGTATATACGTATTAATAATCATTATTTTTACTCGTAACTGTCTACAAAGAAAATTACGCGTTTTCATAAACGTTTTACTTTTCGCCTCTATATTTACCTATTTATTCTCAATTTAATTATATTGAAGCGATCGAATTTAAATTCACCGCTAAATTTGGATTTGTTAAAAATTTACTACATAATATGAATATTACAATATATTTTATAAAAAAAAAAAATACGATATTACGAAATTAAATCATATCGATAAATAAAATATCTAAGAGACTAAATAAAGTGGGATTTATTTTTTAGGAAAAGAGGGCACTGAAATTCTTAAAAAATTTTATAGTTTCTTTTTGTTTGAAAAGAGAATTCATTTTAACGTAATTCAAAATAAATCTTATAAAATTATAATTTAAATATTATAATTTACGTTATTTTGCAGTTCTTTATAGACCATTTGATTTATAAGTTAATTGTTCGAACAAAAAAAAGTTACATGCATTAATGATTTTTACTAAAAATGCCTTTACATTTTACTTATATTCTTACATATAGTATTTACAATTACAATTCACATTTTTTAGACTGAATTTGCTGTCGCTAATAATTAAAATTTATGCAAATAAGATATATTACTAGTTTTTCACTATTATTGGAAATAAATAATTAGTTGAATATAAATTTGTAATCTAAGACCAATTAACAATTTATTCAGTCTAATCTTGATTTTTGGTACTACAACCATATTGCCCCATTTACATTATTTTAAAACAAAATTTGATTGGCAAGCAGTTTTTGGCATGTACATTATAATATATATATATATATATATATATATATATATATATATATATATGTAGACTCTTATACTAATGGTAAATATAAGAGACTATTTTAAATATGATTTAGGCTAATTTTTGCATGTACAAAATACTCGAGTCCAAAATAAAAAGAAATTTATAATTTCGAAAAAAGTATATTTTACATAGTACCCTCTATTAAAATTAAATCTGACTTTTCACTTATATTTATCTATACCTTAAGACGTCGTAGTATAATTAATTTGATTTCGTCGTCATATTCATTTTTATATAAATAATAGAAAACTCACGAACATATCTTAAGCACAAAAATCATATTTTATAACGTGCTGTTAAATTGCAAATATTATTTACAAATTTATGCTTTAGAGATGAATGAAACTAGATATTATACGAAGAACATTCGAGCATGAATTGAAAAATATCTATAAACATTATATGTTTATAAGACAATTGGATATTTCATTAGGTAATTATTTAAATTGTCATTTAAAATCCACATTCGAGCTCTTCAGTTTATTTGAGGAAGTTTATATTTATAACTTTACATCTATGCTTGAATTTATTTTGAAATTCTAAGATTGAAGAACCATATAAGTTATAAAAGCAGTAAATTACGACGGCATATTTCATTTATAACCTTGTAGTATCTCTGTATTAAATACATATATCTACTGATAATCCATAATTGATTTTGCTTTAGCGACTATAATTCTTCTTCCACATACTCTTTAGGGAAAAAACCGACTTGATCGCCGATTTTTCCTTTCCACCATCCTTTGGCATCACCTTCTTTGCTTAAAACGACCACCCGACAACCTTTACGAAGACTAAGTTGATTAAGTTCGTCGCCTCGAAAATCAAACAAAGCCTTAACCAAGACACGTCTAAATGGCCAAAGTAGTCGCTGATCTAATTTCTCAAAATTTTCCGATAATGATACGCGCTTGTAGTATTCAATCAGTTCTATAACACTTTTAAAAAAACGAGACTCGCTCAAGTAGTATAGATCAGCTCCATCAACTTCGCGTTTAAATATTCTAATATGTTTTACTACACCATCGTCCCTGTAAATAAATATTATTCATAATGATTTATCTATGTCCCATTAACTATTAAATAATCTTCAATAAATAATCTTCAAATCAATTGCATTTCATAATAGTAATTGATGTAGCAATTTTTATATATATTATATATATATATTTATATTTTCTCTATATATATATATATATATATATATATATATATATATATATATAATTAACAGGTATATAAATACATTATCTCAATAAAAGAAAAAAAGCTATTTTTACAAAGATCTATTAGCATTGATTATAATAAATTATTGTTTAATTTTCTGAAATATTAGATTTCAATCAAATACTTATAGGAATCGTCGATAAGATTTAAGAAGTAACAAATTTTCGATATACATTTTAATATTTATAAACCTCTGAGCGATAAACTATCGAAAGAACGTAATAGAAATCATTCTAAATAAATTCTTGCGATTATTATTTCCTCCATACGTTCCGAGAACTAATAATAGTATTGCGTATCTAATATTTTTACACAAAATAAAAATATTAACATTTTGAAAAATCTCTTACTTTATGCTTAAAGCATAATTCGTCTCGTGCTTAAGGCGAGGTTGTCCAGATGCTGGACGAAGTCTAACCATGTAAGTTCCATTCTCGCGTGGTTCCAATTTATGAGCAGCCGCATCGCGATCCATTTCACCCACGTACCAAAGCTTAGCAAATAATTCCCGTTCAAATGGTAACGGTGGTGGGGACGGCGGCGGCGGAGGTGGCGGCGGTACAGGCATGCAACGTCCGGAGTACGTGATGCACTGCTTGTGCACCGATAATCGGCAAACCTCGCATCTGTAACCCTACGATTGATCCATGATGAAAACAATAATCTCTTTTATCGTAATAATTAATCTATTTATATTGATCAATAGTGATAATACATTAATTATAATAATAAGTCTCCACAGAATTATTAACCGTGAAAATGCAAATGTCATAAAATTTTGATAAAAATTTAACGTCTTTCTCACGACTATACTAGTAGCTACGCTTGTAAATAAAAGTTATTACCGATTACAAAAAACTTACTTGAAAAATCCTTCCCTTAAGGAACTTTCCACATCGTTCACAGCTGCGCGCACTATCGAAGGTCGTAAGCTTGAATTTATGATTCGTATTACGACAGGCAGCCGGAGAAATATTATCTATGGCATCTTGTAAAGATTTAATCCACAACTGTTTGTGCTCTTCCGTGCGCGCGTACAACGTGTAAGCTTTATAAGCTTTATTGTGTACGAGGAGCCACTGATACGACCAGCGTGAATCTCGCCCAAGCGTTCGTCTACTCGTGTGATCCTCAACCCGATACTCGTCAAGTTTTATAGTCTCTCTGTAACAATATTGATCGCCTCTACCGGCTTTACACACCAAAACGACCTGCTCAAAGATGAACGCATATCGTGCTTTTATTCGCTGATCCCCGTGAGCCTTAACCTAAGGATAAATCATGTGATGTTTTTGTTAACGCGTACAGAAGGTCATAAAATATTTGAAAGGTAATTTTACAAAGGATCTTAATGTTCATGCATATTGCGTAGAGAAATTACTTAACAAAAAATTAATGATAAGACTTCATTCAATAATAAAAAAATCTTTTTTAAATTTTAACTCTTTTCAATATTAGATATTTCATCTGTATTTTTTAAACATCAGGTCATTAGCAAACCAATACCTTGAGCTCTCCATCTTTTAAAAGTCTTCCATAATCCTTCAATTGAATATCCTCAGATCGCTCCCAATCTACTATTGAACGTTGAAAATCTTTGATAATATCAAGCGTGTCGGAATCACGTTTAACTTCATTAATATATTGGGCTACATCCACCATGACTTCGCGAGCTTGGGTCAGCTGGCGCCTATCTTCGCTCCATTCTCGCGGTGTTTCTTCCACTAGTTTATCGAGTAACAAGTGATACTTCAATACCCTTTGCATCGGGACGGATAAGATGTCGCGTAATTTAAATTTTCCATTATTGGCTTCTTGTTGGCATCTCTGCAAAATATGACAAATAACCATAATCCATACGAACCAATAAAACTTCATTTATTTAAAAATTTCAAAAAATTTCATTTATAGTAAAGCGCGTTTTAACTTCGTTTTAAGTTATTTATATTATCGAATCCCGAAGAATATCGATTACTATGCTGAGATAAGTAATGAAAAATCTCGAAATTTTCTTTCTTACTTACAATAACTTCTTGGTTCACACCGTCGTTGTTCGCACAAACCTCATGAAGGGTATTCTGCGCCGTAGTTAGGTTCGCGCAATAATCACCATAAATAAGGAACCTTTTTCGCCAATCCAGAAATACTTGTCCAAGAGCGGCGCCGTCCCTCGCCTTCCTTAATTGACTGTGAAACCCGGCATGGATCTCGGCTAAATCTTTGATACCAAAAAATATACGTGCCGAGTCCTCGGGTCGCAGATGAGTTGACAATGGCCTCGCGAAATGTTTTAATAAGCTATTTAGCACCTCGGAATAATTCCGCTCAGTCTCTACTAGCTCTTGCACCACGTAATCGCGTTTTTCACCTCCCGTTGTCGCAGCCGCTTCCCCCTGCTCAATGATTTTCAAAATAATAAAAGCAAATGAATATTAGAAAATCGAACGCGGGCAAAATAATACTTGTGTGTTTCCGCTAATAATAGTTTGTTGTACGCTTATTGAGCGTCAGTTATGCAAAAATGCATAAGTATGGGCATGCGATTAAGCAGGATGTTGACATTTGATTTTTGTTTGTCTTTCGATTATAATGTTAAATATATTTTCACGCTATATGTAAAGATCATGAAAAAAAAAATATTGAAGAAAAATATTGAGAAAAGTATTGTAAAAGATAATGTTTGATTAAAACTTTATTGAATTTATGGTGCTCAAAATAACAATTGGATTTATAGTGGCTATTAATATATAAAAAAAATTTCGACGTGAGTAAATAACGATGTAAAAATAAGAATTAAAAAGTTAAAATTACAAAGTAAAAACTACATCTACGTACACACACACACGCGCGCGCGCATATATATATATATATATATATATACATCGTAATCAATTCTATCAACATCCTTCTATCTGATTCTTATTTAGGAATTTTGTATGAAGAAGCATGAATGGTCCGATTTATGACTAAACATCATTGATAAATCCTTTGATTACGTTGAGAAAGATAGAAGAAAAACGAATGGTCATAAAAAGTAAATAAAAAAACAAAACACAAAAACAACCTGTGAGGTTGACGAAGGAGGTGGCAGATGCAAGCTACACAGATCCTGGTAGATTTCCTCGCTACGCGCCTGACTGCAGAAGGCCCCATAACCATCTTCCTCGGCGACCGGATCATTGCTACCGATATCACCGGTGTGTCCTTCATCGGGAGTAGCGCCGCCCTCGCGCCTTCTAAATCGTCTACGGCGACTCTCATCCTCTCGCCTTCAGATGCACATAAACATGAATAGCCATGCAGCGTAACTATGCGTATAACCACTTCGTGGGTCTAATAATATCTTACCGGGATTTATGAATGGTAACTCAAGATACAGAAATCAAACCAATCGAATAAAATCAAAATTATGTGTACTCGAGAAAAATTCAGAAATATTCAAAAATTAAAAATTCCTATCTTCGGCAATCGAATTAAGGTAGGGTCGAAATTTTTAATTTTTTAGGTATACCGAATGCGATCGAATATGTTGACCAATGACTATCTACGAATATTCAATCACTTTTTATTTGTTGAAGATGGGAATTTTTATTATTTTTTTGTTTGTTTGTTTGTTTTTCTTTTTTTTTTTTTTTTTTTTTTTTGTTTTTTTTTTTTTTTTTTTTTTTTTTTTTGCTATTATTGCTTTACTACGCGTGCGCGTGCACGCGTGTAACGAAAATGCAAAGCAATAAGCGAGAAACAAAAATAAATAAATATAAGACAACTCTGTCGGTCGATTGGTCGTTAACTCAACGTTCTTGGCTTTGTGTTGCGAAAATTACAAAAATTACATATGCTTTTTTATGTGAGCTATCGAATACAAGCACGAGCATCTTCCACTACTATTCTGATCCAACCAATGACGAGAATTGTAACGAATATTTACTTGATAATCAAAATTTAGTTAATATATCCTTTTAAATAATAACTATTAATTGTAAGTAGTCACTCTGTATAAAAAAAAAATTAATTTGGCTAAAATTTGGGAAAGATGCTGTGTTTGAATTCATTTAAAATTCCTCATACCTTTCACTACAGACTTAAAATTATGAATTTATCATGCACAGAAAAACTTCAGGGATATAGATAAAAAATCTTTGTATCAATATTTTCAAGTTTTAAGAATTTTGGTTTCCAAATGAAGCATCAATATGTAAATGCAATATTTGTGATTGTTTTATAATATTGTTGCCGTTAATAGTTTTCATTTTTCTCTTTTTCTTTTTTTTTTATCTATACTACTGAATAATACAAGATATCCTAAATAAATTAAAATAAATCAGAAATTGTACTACAAAATTCGACATTAAAAAGCTCTGCTCTTTTGTCAATAATAAAAAAATATTTTTTGAAGGAACACAGAATTACAAAACTCAATAAATATCTTTCTCATGTCCACAACATCTTATATAAAATTATTCTGCCTATAATACTTGATAAATCATCAACAACACGTAAAAATGCAAGGAGTGATTTATAACGCGTACCTCCTCCTTTGAACAAGTAGACCAGTTGTGTCGAGGAGTTGTCTGCGAAAAGCAGAGTAACTCATGATAAACTTTCGATTCACCTAGGTCCATGACCCTAGGTTTAATCGTAAATGCTACCACTGGTGCCATCGGTCTAAATGCACAAAAGTTACCAGACACGTTTCATATTTCATTTGTCTGTTGTTCATTGAAATTTCTGTTTTAAATTAAAACAAAAAGCCATGAAAGGACATCTTATCTTTTGCTCCGCTATCTTATTTATCATATATTATACTAATTACTTTGGAGTGCGTAAGTAAATTTACAAATAATTTCAATTGTAGATTATCAATTTTTTTTCCAATGATAAAGATAAAGCGAAATTGAAAAAATGTCCTTTAAAGCAATACCTCGAAAAATGTATAAAATTAAAACTCTTACCCTACTCCTGCACTTTGTAAATATTTATAAATATCTTCTTGAGATCGTCCTCGTTTTACAGTAAAACCCCTAAAATTAGATCGTAATGTCAGATAAAACTAAATTGATGAAAAAGTAATACATATGATTTAAAAATCATACTTACTCTATACCTTTATTATTAAAAGCAACAGAATTTGATAATACAGACAGGGTGCATAAAACTTTATGGAAATTAGAAAGATCAAAAAGCATTGATGGCTCAAAAAGATCAGATTCGGATAAACCAAATACACTGGTGCAGGCGGACAAAAAAGCATTTATATTACGTAAACATAAAAATTGAGCCATTTGAGGTTTTTGATTGACATCTTTGCTATCTATACAGCCTGTCTCGATTGTATTTAAAAGATTACAAAGCAAAACTCCATCTCTCAAAATATATGCAAGATCTACAGCTGTAGCTGTAGGCCAATTAGCTTTATGATCGGATCTCAATGCTCCACATCTTATGAGCCAGCTGGCACATTCCTGCCAGCCATTTCCAAGGATTTCGGCTCCACAATCCTTTCCACTCATTTTGCATTGATTGTTAACAATCAATCAATCAATAGGCAAGAATAAAGCAATAGTAAATTTTTTGAATAACAAACGGCTTTAACCATTTTATGTTGTTAGTATATATTAATAATATCTAAATAATGAATCTGTAAAATAAAATTTTCAAACTTTTTGATTTAAATTCACAATATATACTACAAAATTGATTAAAAGCACTTCATAAATCACATCGATAAGAAATTATGAAATGTTATTTTAATTTTTTTTAATATTAACTTTTTTAATATATTGGTTGATATAAAAATAATCAAAGCATCTAAAATGAAAACTACTTTCAAGATATTATTAAAGTCTATAGAATAAATAATATAAAATGTAAAATTATTTAAATACAAAGCATATAAAATTTATAAGTAAAATTTAAAAAAGATAATTTTTGATAGAATAGATATTAAAATGAAATACGATTAGAATGAGAAGATTAATGTGATTAAACAATTAACAATATAATAATAATTAGAAGCAATTTAAATTAAAAGGCAGTGTTTATTTGCATTTAAAGAAACAAATATGTATAGAGTATAAAGAGTGATTACGTACCCAACTATCGTATATGTGCTCATAAATATTAGATGAATAAATAGATTTGATAATTAAAGAAATAGATTCTTTGAAGTTTAGACATCAGAAATTGTGTCAAGGGTTATATGAATTGTAAATATATCATTATCCTACTCATTGACGTACTCCTGATTGACTTTGACAACTGCATTGCGACTGTAAGTTTAAAAATAAAATTTAAGTTTCGTCTCTGCAGTTAATAATCAGACTTCGAGCGAAAATTCGACATCATTCTGTACAAAAGCGGTGAAAAGGAGCAAAAAGAATACTCCATGCAATAACATGCGCGCGCGCGCGCATTGGCGCATGCACAGAGACACAAACACAAGCAAACAAACAAAATTCCATTAATCTCGTGACAATTCACTTATACGTACCAGCGATTAGATAAATGCAATATATTTTTATTTTCCTTTTTAGTTAAGAACGTGCCTTAATTCATAATTGAAGCTCTTATAACATTGACATTATTAAATATATTTATCGTTAAATTTTTGATATTTAAAGTTCATAGATAATATACTCGAGGACTGGCCGTACGCCATGTTGAATTTCCGTATTCTGAAGCTTGGCTGCTGCTGCTGCTGCTGCTGCTGCTGCTGCTGCTGCTGCAGTCTGCAGAATTCCTCGACTGTATAGTATATCAATAAGGATCTTACTCCCCCTCACTCGCTCACCATATTCTCTCTTTTCATATGTATGCACGGGCCTATGCGCATGCATTCATCAAAGCAAACCTGCCTGGGCACGTAATGTGTACGAAGAATATAAATATTGGGCATCATATAATATATTTTTATATTTTAACGCAACCATAGATACACATTATTCTCACACACGCGTGACCACTCACGTATACAATCATTTCATACTTATTTTTAGTTACACGTTTACATTTTCTTCTCGAACGTTTAGCAATCATAGAATTTTACGAAAAAAATGAGTCAGCATGTTCCGACGTTTGGTATTTTAATGTTCTTCCTTATTACTTTTTCATGAACGAAAATGAGCGATAAACCATTCTTCAAATGTCTCTATCCATTAGAGTAAAGATAATTTTTTAACGCTAATTACCTTTTATTAGTGATTTAACAGTAAATAGCTGTGTAATTTTACTGAGAATTAATTAATACAAAAAATAAAAGATTATTAAATTTTTAGATTTTATAATTTAGAAATCATTTATACTGTACATTTAAAATTCATCAAATATTTATTTAAGAAAAAAAAAAGAAAAACTAATTCGAATTTTTAATTTCATCAATTAATAATATGTAAGGATAAAGTACTCAAATATTTCAATTAATTTCATTTAGTTAATTATGCTTTCGTCTCATCAAACGCAATTAATTTAAAATTGTAAAATTCATTGCTTTAATAATAAACTTTTTTTTTTTTATTAAAAAAAATTTTAATTTCTTATAATTATAAAATAATAAAGTTTTTTTTTATATAAATTAAACTTGCTTAAAAATTAAAAATTCTGCTAAAAGTCATTTCAGTACAATACAGATATAACTCTATAAAATTCCTATCTATACTTCTAAAAAAATTATGTGTCTCGCTCGCACTTACAACATCACTAACTACAGAGTTAAATTTTAAAATACATAAATATTAATTTAGATAGATTAATTTCGATTCGTTAAAAGAATGTTATTATATATGAGAAACTATGAGCAAAATATTTTAGGCAAAGAAAAGAATTCATATATAATGTAATTTTAATTTATCTTTCTAATATAAAGAGTACACTGAAAATAAGATAAAAATTATACATTAGAGAATTAATTTTATTAGAAAAAATTTAGAAAAATTATATTACACTAATTAATTATTGTTTTATCTACTGATTATCAAATACTATTTTTATATACATATTTATTCTTCTTATTTATACAATTGTAGAAGTCAACCTTTTCATGTAAAAAAATACATTAATACTAATTAATACAAAACTATTTATTATTTTTTTACTTCATATTTGCTTTAATTGTTAAGAGTGATACACAAAATTCAAATTTACTACTAAAAATTTTCATTAATTAAATATGATCCATACATAAAAAGTACATTTATTTCAATTAATTTTGATACATATATACATTTATATATACAAAATATATATTTAAATACTTTATATTGTACATAATACAAAGAATACCGATTCAATTAATTATAATTCAACAATTATAATAATGATCTTATGTAATCAACCAAACCAAGCCTTCGTTTGGTCCAAGTAATATTTAAAATTTCTTATCGGGCAAGGTTCAATATTGTCGACTGAATTTTTGTAAGCTTTCCAGACTTGGGGTAAATTTAAACAAACGGATCCTCCGCCTCTTTCAAATTGTGTGCTCTAAAATCATATTCAATTTTATATTATTGTTTTTAGCGAAGTGGGTAAAGAGAATATGAAGAAAATTTACAGCTCGATTGATGTCTCCCACGCAAACCCATGAATTTTTATCATTGCTCTCAACAGACGCAGCCCATTTAGAATGGTCGTGGGTATTTTTAAATTGTATTTGAGCTACTGGCAATGTAATTGATTGGATATTCAATACTCTACAATAAAATATGATATATTTGAATTGTGTTAATAAGGTTTGATATAAGTATTGGCGTTGTATTCGGTTAACTTATATTACTTGGATCGATGGCAATCGGAAGGTAATCTACCACGTCCATTAAGCCATGTTTCTGTGTATAAATCAGTATTCAACTGTGGTGCTATAAAATCATCATACAAGTCTGAAAAACATGAATGAGAAAGTCTAAATTGTTCAGCTTATTACGAGTTACTACTTATTATTTTGATTTGCTTACCTTTTCCCCATTTGCTATTCTTCGCAAACGAAGTAAATTTTTCTCCACTTTTGGAATATATATTAACTTTATTATTGTAAGATCCATTCGTTATATGAACTTGATGCGCAGCATCGACCAGAGTGGAATATTGGCTTAAACAATAATTTGGTATATTTTTCTTATATACAATAATTTCATTATACATCAATTGTTTTCCAATTGTATTAAAATTGGTTTTATTTGTTGATATGCATAAGAAACTTTGTCCATTTAATTTTCCTGTCGAAGGATAAGCATATTCACCAACTACTAACTGCTTGGCTTTTGTATGTTTTACATTTTTATTCCTTTTAGTTCTTGATTTATTGATTATGTCTCCATTATTTGGTTGTGGTGGAAAATTAGGAACACTGTGAATTAACCAAAATCCTTCATTTTCATTTGAAACGAATACTCCCTTTGTGTGTCCATAATTAAAATGTACCGATTCATTAGGAGGCTGATCATTGTACAATAACCAAAATAAATTTGTAGAATTTTTCTGTAAAATTTTACGAAATGTCAGTATAAAATGAATTCAAGTTGAAATAAAATTTCAATTAAATGCGAATACATCATCATAAATTGGAGCAAGAGTAAATCCAGGAATAGAAGTTTTTGAGGTTATATTATTTTTCGATAAAGTCCATCCATTTTGAAAAGTATTATTATCAATATATAAGTATGCGACACCTTCCTTTATTAACATATTATTACTATTTCGTATTTTTGGTATTTTGTATAAAAAAAACCTATAAATAAAATAGCTTAAATTATCGACATTAATTTTAATATTAAATCTTAAAATAATTTTTTAAAGCAAGAACCATTAATTACCAATCAACATTTTCGTTCTCTTCTCCTTTACACTGTAAAGATGTTACTAACATTAATTTATTAAAAATAGTTATTGTTAATAATAACTTATAAGCAATAACTTGTATTTGCTGCAAGACCATAGTGTAAATAATATTTTTTAGGTTATTAACAGCAAGTGCATCTGATGTACAAGTGATGTACAATTAAATATTTACAAATAAATATTTGATATTATATTTTACATCAGACTGACGTTATATATATACATATATATATATATATATATATATATATATTATTTTCATGTTTTATTATTAAAATATTTAATAAGCTTATAAAAATACAAATCACTGAACATTATATTTAGATTCAATAATATTTCCACTAGAAAATAATAAAAAGCTTCTGACAATTTCATTGGTCACGTGACAACACATGGAATATCAGCTGATACTGGTAAGTTTGAGTGCTAATTATTTTTGTCAAGGAATTTCAATGCAAATGGGCGAAATTAAAAAAGGAGGATGTAATGTGGATGCATAGTAATTTAATAATAAATATTCAATATAATGTTTAACAATAATAATAGAATTATTTGAAATGTTAAATATTACGTTATAATATTACGAAGCATAAATACAATTTGAATTATTAAAACACAAGGAAACTATAAAATAGTTTTCTTAAAAATAGTTTTAATCAAAAGAAACAGAAACAAAAATCATTGAAATTGTATTAAAAAGGAAATTTTAATTATAAATCTAAAAGAAAACTTGACCAAATCAGACTTTATAAAACTAGTTTTCTTCAAAATATTCTGTACATAATTTACTAATTTCATGATTTACATAACTACAAGCTTGTATTTATCATTAACAATAATAATATTCCGAAAAACTATTAACTATTAGTTTTTCGGAGTAACTAACTAGTAACTTATTTTTTACTGAAAACTATTATCTTTTAACGAAAACCAATTTATTTTTCAAACCATTAAATTATACAATTTAATAGTGAAAAGTTTATATAAATAGTTTTTTCATCATTACGTATATTATAAAATCTAACGTTAAAAAAATATCCACGTTTTTTCATTAATACTGCAATTATATAAAAAATCATTTTGTTTCATATAATTGAATAAAATTTTACGTTCCAATTAATTATGGTAATCGAAACATAAAGTAGATTTTCATATTCTATAAATTTCTATTAACTCGAAAGTCAACCATAAATTCTGCATTTAAATGCAGTATTCATGGCCGATATGTATGGAGGTACAATAAAGTATTTGCATAATAAATAATATATATTAGAAAATGAGCTCAAAACATTATTAATCTACGGTATTAGTTAACTATTATTAACCATCTAGTATAATTACGTAATGCAAACATTACAATCTTATGTCGTTTATTTTATCGGCTTCTATTATTCCGTATAATGGAGAAAATGGTATGAAAAATCAGTCAAGAGTTTTAATACAAGAATAAGGGTATTTAAAAATTACTGCATGTGTTACAAAAGTATTTTGAAAGCTCTTTCACATGCCCGTATCTAAAACAAAATTTAACAATAATAAATCTGCCTCCATATCGTTATCTAGTGAATAAAAGTTTAACAATTTCTCATTCATTAGCGCCTCATAGTGAGCTTTCTTCCTGGACTACACAATTGTTCTCCTTCTCATCTCCGTCTTTTCTTCTCTAATCGTTTTTACGCGAGTTTAATACACTAAGGCGACTAATATCTGTCACATAAAAAACAAAAAAAAAACAAAAAAACAAAAAAAATGAAAGAATGCGTCAGAGGTTTCCTAAATAGGTAACTGATAAAAGAATAACATTAAGAAAAAGAACTTAAGCATAAGGCAAGCATTGTCCAGAGACCGATCGATGGGGATATCGTGTTATCATGTTTCAAGGCACAATTAAATGTAATCGCATAAATTGTAAATAGACTGCGAATAATTTTAATATGCTTATAGTAAATATAGTGTTTTTTAGTGCACGATCCACTAAATACATCCTATTCTAGTTTTCTAAATAATATTTAAGAATATTTATTCGGATTTTATATGTTGATAAAATGAAATTATATCGTTTAATTTAAGAAGGTTTGTGCTTTAGTGAAGTTCAGTAGTGAAATAAAAAAGTTCGTAGGTAATGTGTTAGAAAATGTTCAGCGTTAAATCCATTATAATTCTATTATTGTGGAATAGTAGTGTTAGGATATTTTACATGTTTATGTTTGTATATTATATTTCTATTTTAAATAATCTAAAAACTCAAATGATGATATATTTCGTGATAAAAGTTCCGGACACTTTTATACTTTCTTGAAGCAACAAGATAAATCGAAAATATACTAGAAGGAGTGTAAAACTTTTTTTAGCAATATTTTACAATTTTGCAATATATCGTATTGTATTGAAGAAATGATGTATGCTGTATAGACGGTGTTCATTTCACCCACTGAAAACGGAGTTGTAGCACAAATGGCGAAAGTACAATGCTTTCGGTAATTTCGAAATCTATCAGCATTCATCCATACTAAAAATGATCAAAATAGTAGCTTATTATGCTGCATGCATCTTTAATGAAAGTTTCTTTCTATTCTTAAAAATAATAGCGACTGGAGGTCGTAATTGGACCACAAGTGACTGTACTTGTGTCGAAAATGTTAAAAATGCGCTAACAGTGGATGTTAGCAAATAGAAAACAGCAAGAACACAAGAGGTTTGGATTACTCGACCAAACAAGAGAATACAAAACAAAAGTGAGCTTTTTATAAATGCTGATGACTTATTATATTGATTTACTTGATTTGTATACTAATCAAGTGTTCGGATGACTTTAGTGCAATTTTTTCCACGTTTTGGACTTTCGTAAAAATTAATTTACACTTTATTTACTATCGCAAGTGGTAGTGTCAAGTTTTTATGTTGCCATTTCTTATGTATTTTCTAATGAAAAAGAAAAAAAGAAAAAAAATACTCAATTTGTTACATTAAATTCTCAATAAAATAATAACAACAACAACAAAAATTTGAAGGATAAAAAAATAGTTATTCAGATTGTTGGATGTAATAATTTCTCAACTATAGTTTACTGGGAGAATAATTATCAGAATTAATATAAAATTTTAGCTAGCTCTATGAATTTGAAAAATAATTGCCTTAAAGTAATTGACAAGGAAAAAATTGATCGAAAGTCTTATTAATAGTAATGTCATCTGTATATTTATATATGTAGCTATGTTAACTTAATTATACTGTAATTCCTACAATGACTATCTAACGTATGAATAATCGTAATAGTAATACGTAAACACGTATATATTTAATAACTTCTGCTGGCATACAATTTCATACACTGACATGCGTTGATACGTACATAAAATTATAAAGATACACGTACACGTGCTATCATAGATACAGAAAATTGTTTTGCCTATTAAGCGTACTATCAAAAGTACGTCATTTCGGTTAGTTCTATTCCCCTGATATAAGTATTCGCATATGACGGGCGACCACGTATTTTATGAAAAATGCCTAAGGCAAGTAAATACGACCGCGTATGAAAAATAAAATCATTTTATTATTTCGCTACATAGTGAGCGAGAGAGGGGAAAGATGGCGGAGAGGTTGGCGGGAGGAGGAGGAGGAGGAGGAGGAGGAGGAGGAGGAGGAGGAGGAGGAGGAGGAGGAGGAGGAGGAGGAGGAGGAGGAGGAGGAGGAGGAGGAGGAGGAGGAGGAGGAGGAGGAGGAGGAGGAGGAGGAGGAGGAGGAGGAGGAGGAGGAGGAGGAGGAGGAGGAGGAGGAGGAGGAGGAGGAGGAGGAGGAGGAGGAGGAGGAGGAGGAGGAGGAGGAGGAGGAGGAGGAGGAGGAGGAGGAGGAGGAGGAGGAGGAGGAGGAGGAGGAGGAGGAGGAGGAGGAGGAGGAGGAGGAGGAGGAGGAGGAGGAGGAGGAGGAGGAGGAGGAGGAGGAGGAGGAGGAGGAGGAGGAGGAGGAGGAGGAGGAGGAGGAGGAGGAGGAGGAGGAGGAGGAGGAGGAGGAGGAGGAGGAGGAGGAGGAGGAGGAGGAGGAGGAGGAGGAGGAGGAGGAGGAGGAGGAGGAGGAGGAGGAGGAGGAGGAGGAGGAGGAGGAGGAGGAGGAGGAGGAGGAGGAGGAGGAGGAGGAGGAGGAGGAGGAGGAGACCGGGCTGTCTAAATGTACACGTACGATGTACGTGTCATGCGCGCGTAGTGGATTACTTATGCTCGTCGTGCTAAGCCGTTTGCGCATACATTACAATCAACTGTCATTGTGCTCCATCTTTTTTTATGTTTATATACAACCGAGTCTTTTCATTTTCTCCAATCTCTAGACGGAACCTCCGTTTTTTTTAGCACTTCTGTGGGACTGTAGATCGACGAATTTTGAAAACTTTGAAAGCGAAGCTATAGTTTCGTATTTTCCAACACGTTTGAGAGTAATTGGACTTAGAAATAAATGTTTCTGTTTGGAAGTCGTATTTTATTTTCATAGCTTTATTCGGTTTAATGCCTGACCGTTAAAATCGAATCTTTTAGACTTCGTGTCGCATCAACATATATCGTATTTAAAAATGTCGAAATAATTATTTACTCGTACAATTACTTTAGCCCATAAATTATATATATTTCAATGATCTAATAATAACATAAACTTATTTGAAAAGATTATTATTTTTTTTTTTTATTTGAATTTTATAATAGCTTGTACAGAGGTATTTTCTGTTTAGAGTTTCTTCTAATTTCCGAATACTTACTACATAATAGCTATTTTAGTTTTTTCAATGATAATTGTTTGTAAACTTATAATTCTACAATTGCAGGATAAATGGAATCATGAAAACAAAAATATGCATGCAAAATATAGCATATTTTTATAGGGCATTAAACAAA